GGCCGTGCGCCTGCCCGGCGTCGGCGTCGACGCCGCCTGGGACGTGCCGCGCCTGCGCGCCCTGCGCGGCACCTTCCCAGGCAAGTGCGGCCGCGGGGAAGGGCTGCGGGTGTCCGCGCGGGCCTTCGCGGTGCCTGCGTCCCCCTGCTCCCGTTCCCGAGGGCTTCTCCCTGCTCTGCTGCTGCCCTGGCGCTTGGCACCCGCGCAGGGACGTGTTGCTGCCCACAGGGACCTGAAGGGAGCCTCTAAATCCAGTCCGAGCGAGGGCTCTTGGGGAAGCTGGCACACGGGACCCATGTTTCCATCTCTGCCCCTGCCAGTCCTGCCAGGCAACTGTGCCACCCTCCTCTGGAGGACCTGGCATTAATCCCCGTGGCGTTCGCAGGCGGCGTGTGCTCGGCAGACGGCAGAACAAAGTGTCAGCGTGTGCGTAATCTCGCAGCGCAGACCAGAACTTGTCTTGTGCCGATATCTGCTCCTATCCGCTTGGCTTCCCGGCTTCCGCGTGAAGCACGTCAGAATGTTCCTTGTTCTTTTATTAAAGAGTTTTTGGCTTGCCAGGCTCTGTGTAATGATGGATGGGCGTGCTGAGAAGAGCAGGCAAGGGGAGAATTGTTGGAATACGGCGTGGGTGTGGGGATGCGGAAACACTGGGTGTGCGGAACGGCTGCTGGGGATTTTGCTTTTATTTTATCGTGAGTCTTCAGCTTTGTACACAAGACATGCTGACTGGCTCAGTCTGCTGCGCCGGCTGTAACAGGAGATGTTGTTCTTGTAAATACTGCTTTCAAGTCTAAAAACTCACTGGTTGCTAAGTGTTTAAATTCTGCCCTGCTTGCTTCTGTAGCTGACTTTGATGAATCTAAATCCCCCAGCGCAGAGCAGCTGGATGCGCTGCGAGAGTTTGCTGGAATCGCTGCCGAGTCCTCCGCTCCCGACAGCCTCGCTACCCTTGCCTTTCTCTATATGTGCCTGGCTATTTCAGCTAAGTATGGGTAAGATTACCTTCCCGCACTAAAATAAAAGCGCTAGCTTGCGTGTTGTGCATCGTTAATTGCTTTTATAGTTGCTAATTGCTTTTACGAGTTGAGGTGGAATGAGAAATTAAGAGAGACCCACAGTTGGGTTCTGAGCACCCCAGGAGCAACTTGTTAGCGCTAAGCTGTGCTTGGTGGGGAGCGGGAGATGCCAGGTGCCCCCAGCAGCCAGGGGAGACTCTGCTTTAGACATCACCTCCTTTTGAGGTGCGCGAGTCCCACGCTTCCTATGCAGCCGGCGGAGGCAGAGACAGACAGCCGCCCCATCCCTGACAGGCAGTTCATCTCATCTTGAATTAGGTTAGAAAAATTACCATGGAAACGTCCTTTAATTAAACGTCTGAGCTATGTCTGTTCTCTCTGGTGGGCTGAATCTCTCTCAGAATGTGGGAGCTTGGGGGAGCTGTGGGTTGGGGCTCTCCCGGTATCTACACTTGGCCAACGATGTTGATGCTGCTGGAAGCTCTTGAGAAGCTGCTGAGGGTGAAGGATGATACAGCCCTGCCTGCTGTTGCAAACGAGGCCAGAGCCCGGGTTCGGCACACAGAGCAGAGGAGGCGAAGGTTACAGTTTATAGCTGCCTTGTTTTTCACCTTGCAGTCTCTGAGCTCCTTGGCGATAGCACCAGTGCTGTGATCAGCCTGCCCTGAAACTGAGCCCTTGTGTCCTTGCCCAGCCAGGGAGAGCTCCCAGGTTTGCTGTTAGGGCGAATGACCAGGACCTGTGAGACCGGGAGCACCCAGGCACACACACACGTGTGCGTGTTCACTTTCCCAGCAGCTCGTCACGCTAGCAAGCTGCAGCCATGCAGCTCCGGTCACGTTTACAGCGTTTAAAACAATCTTTGAAGGGTCTCTTTGTGGTGCTGCACAAGTATTTGGTTACTAAGTGCCCCCGCTAGCAGCCTGACGAGCTGTGCTAATCACAGCCCCGGTTCAGCGGCGCTTTGTTCCAGTACAATGGCTCCGGGGCCGCTCAGCTGTGCGGACGGGGCGCTCGTGAGGCCCATGGCTGTCGGGTGCTTACGCATGTGCTGAGGTTGCCAATTCTCAACCAGCTTTTCCTGTGATCAGCCCTAATTGGCGTCTCTTGCCTTTGAAATGCTGTTTCGAGACGGGATGCGAGGTCGCCGTGCCCAGCCCGTGCGTTTGCCTTCCAGAGACGTGCCGAGCGTGGACATCATCGTGTGGTCGGAGCTGCCCACGGGAGCCGGCCTGGGATCCAGCGCGGCCTATTCCGTGTGCGTGGCGGCCGCGCTGCTCGCGGCGTGCGGAGCCGTCGCCTGCCCGCCCGCCGACGGGGCCGCCCCGGCCAGGTAACGTGTCGGGGACACCTCCCCGGGGTGCCCCTGCGCCCCGAGATGCCCTGCTCGCCCGCAGCAGGAGCAGGGGTTATTGCCCACTAAATATAACTCACGGCTGCAGCGGTGTTTAACGCAGTTATGCAGGTGCACGGAGACGGGCTCTGGGATTAAGGTCATCACTAGCACGGCTCTGGCCGGTGGCGTAGCGCACAGGGAGGTTGTGCTGGTTCGTGCGAGGCTGTGACAGTGGCGGCAGAGGACAGCTGGCCTCGCTGGCCGGGCTCCAGGCTGGGCTGTCTGCGTGAGCACATCCCAGGACGGGACTGTTGAGCCTTGTCTCTGTTTCCGCCTAAGCCTGCGCTAGCATCTCTCGAACTCTCCAGTTTCCCCTGCACTCAGGAGCTGGCTGTGACTGCTCACAGCAGTGATAAAAGATACAGTTGATCTATTTTGCAAAGAAAATAAAATAGATACTTTAGCTTATAGAGAGATTTTTTTTCTTTTTACCTCTCTTTTCTCTGTCTCTGAGCATCTTCTAGGTTTTGCTTTGTGTTCTTCAAGGATCCCTTCTGGTTTTTTCTGCCTTTACACATTGCTTTCTTTCTGCACATGGCTCTTTTCCGTCTGATTCCTGCCTGACCTTCCCCGTTTCCAGTGGCCGCTGAGAGGAGGTCCCTTTCGCAACCTCCACCCGCTTGTGCCCTGTGTAGCTGCTGTCACTTGATGTTGGGCCCCGCAAAACTGAGCTGCCCTCTCCGTGTCCAGGGAAGCCGTGTTTAAAGATGCGCAGCGCAGCTGGAGCGCGGAGCTCCATTGTCTGCCCCGTGCCAGGTGCAGCCTTTTATGCTTGGCTTCTCCGGAGTTTTCTTTCGGCCTCAAAGCCGAGGCGGCGAGCGCGGGCGGCGACGTTCCGCTTCCAAGCCGGGCTTTGTAGCCTGACCCAGAAATGCGCTCCTCAAGCGGGGCTGTTGGGGAGCTCTTCTCCCAAATAGTCACGCTATGGGGGAAAGAAAAAGCCAGCTCCCAACGAGAAAGCAAGTGGGAAGGAAGCCTCGTTCCCTGCTCACGCTTCTTAGCTCCAGCTTGAACACGGTGCGTTTTTTTTTCCCTTCCAGCTGGCATGCAGAGGGGTAAGTGAGAGATGGGGGTGTCAGACTTCAGAAGGGTTTTGCTTAACGTTGCAAGAAAAGAACAGTGTGATATAATGACTCCCGTGTAGAGAAGAATCGCAGCCTCTCAAGGAGGATTAAAAACAAGTGGTTTACAGCAAACTGCGTTTCTATTTTGAGGAGCGGTAGTGTGAGCTGTTTTCCTGAATGCTTCAGAGATTAAATGCTGGCAAGTGACATTAAAGGTGTGTGAAGAAGGATGAGGAATTTCAGATGAAGCCCAGGGAGCTGGAGAGTTAAGGGAAGATGCTGCCAAATACCAGGTGGCTCCAGAATTCCTGCCTCAGCAGCAGTCGGTGACTGTTTTTGTTGTTCCATGTGAGCCCGTGTGATACTTACCCAAAATCATCCCTGTGCCTCTGCTCTACCATATGATTCCTACTCCGGGCCTCCTAAAAACCTGTTGACTGCACGTTCTGCCTGCACCAAATGTTAGCTGTGATCTCTGCAGAGTACAGCTGGTACCGGGGTGTCCGACACCCCCGTGCTGGACTGTTTGAACAGCGGATTGGAATGTGCACTGAGTGTCTGCGCTGTGCAGAGGGGACAAAGCCCCCACAGCAGATACTAATCCAGTTCTTAATGCGTCTTCTGACCAAATTTGTGAGGCTTTAGCAGCTGGCAGCTAGAGGCAGAGGTTGCATGTGTGAATTACGGCTTTCCATGTCCTCTTCTCGCATGGTGCCGTCTCCTCTATAAATACCATGTCCTGGTGGGGGTGAGCAAGGTTGCAGACGAGGGCGTGCAGTAGCACAGAGTGTCAGGGAGGTGCGGAGAGGTCCGGATTTGCCTTGGGGTAGCTGGGATATTCCTTAGATGGGAACTTCTCCCTGAATTTCCTGGTGTGCAGGGGTAGAGGTGCTCATTGCTTTGTAGAACTGAACCGTGCATGGAGCAAAGCGTTCACAGCCCCGGCCGTGGCTCTTTCCTCTGTCGCGCTGCGTGCGCCGCTTTCGGCTCTGCGCTTATGTCCTCTTCTTGCCTTTCAGGTGGACAGAAGAAGAGCTGAGTTTAATTAACAGCTGGGCCTTCCAGGGCGAGCGAGTGATCCACGGCAACCCGTCGGGGGTGGATAACGCCGTGGGCACCTGGGGTACGTGCGTTTCGGTGCTCCCCACGCTCCGCGCGGTGCGTGCGGCAGCTGCAAGGGGCAGCCCGAGCTGCGTTGCTCTCCACGACAGAGACCCGCTCGGGGCTGCTGCACGGAGACTGCATGGAGCAGGTGGCCTCGCTGCCCTGCGCGCTGCAAAGGGACCAGAAACCCCCAAATTCGGCTCCTCCTTTTGACCTGAGGGGAGGGAGTGCCTTTCTGCCTTGGTTCACCCACGTTTGGGCTGGGGCTGGAGCCAGGCAGGGTGTTGGGAGAGCGGCTGCCCTGACCTCGCACAGCTCTTGTCTCCCAGGCAAGCGCCGTGGGGCAGAAACCCTGTTGTAAATAACTCAAACATGCTGGAGAGAAGAGAAAAGCCCGAGCCCATTCAGAGGATAATGCAGTAGAAAATGCAGGCGGACAGCTGTTGTTTAGTTTCAATTAGCAGAGACTTCCCATTGTTTTGGAAGTGTCCTTTGAGACTTTTCCTTTTAATAATCTTTCTAATGAGACCTAATCGCAGCGCTTCAGTAAAAATAGGAGCAGAGTGAGACATTCCTTGTGGACAGCAGAACTCCGTGCTGCCGGCTGGCTGCTGACGGGAATGCACCCGTGCAGACCCCGGGCCAGTTTGCAGCCTGTGTGCTCAGCTTTGCCCCGGGAAATCCCTGCTTCATCCCTTCTTCCATGAAGATTTAATCCTGGCCAAACTCCTTACTGTTAAAAAAGAAATAGGTGATCCTGCAGTAGAGGAGAGCAAAGGGAAAGGCGTTGGGTTAACCGTGTCCAGCCAGAGCCTCTCATTAAATCAGTGGAGTTGGGCAAATCTGTGCTGTCTGAGAAAATGGTTCATTTAGCTGCTGTTTCTTGCAGTTACTGTCATGTGCTCTGGGTGAGGTTCTAAAGATGAAAGACCTTCTATTTCTTACGACATTGTGTTATCTTGGGCTCACGGTGCACTGAGACAATGCATGTGTTTTACTTTAGGTGGAGCCCTGAGATACCAGTCAGGAAAAATCACACCATTGAAGAGGTAATATTCGAGTTTAAAAATAACGGTCCCGTACAGTGGGTGGAATATGTCAAAGATCTATGGGATGGGTTTTATATGATAAGAGATTGATGCAAGATTGCCAGCAGCCTGGCAGAAGGGCTTGGTAGCCAGATCTCGCTGTTGGCCACGGGCGTGGGTAGCTTGAGTGTCATCTTGGCTTGGGGCAGACGAGGACCATGAAATGTTTAGTCATTATCTGACATTAGATGAACAGAGCACAGAGGATCAATATTAATTTCATGGCATTATGGGCAGCAGGAACGGGTCTGCTCCTGTGCTCCTGGCAGCAAATGACATTGCGAGGAGGGGGAGCTCCTTGCTTACCTGGTGGTAGAGCTGCATGGAAACCAAGCTGCAGAGAGCAAATCCAGGCCCTAAATGTTCCCTCTGCCTTCTGCCAATGAAGTATAATCTGACTCCATTAAAATCTTACACAGTGCATGAAATTGCTCTATTAGCAGTTAATGGCCACTGCTGGCTAGCCTCACAGATTGTATTTTAAAGGAAAGATTTTAGTTGAAAAACATAGATTTCAGTAAATATGTTACAGACCTATTTATGGAGCTGGAACAGTTGCTCAGTGTAAGTAAGAACAACACGCCTGAGCCCAGGCCACTTGAGCACCTGCTTAACTTTTGGAAAACTAATGGGAGTCTCCGTGTTGGGTGTCGTGTTCGAATAGGTCTTTCGAGGCAGAATGAGCAGCAGCTGGGAGGTGGTCTTGGCGGCGGCTGAAGGAAGGGGCCCGGGGGATGACGTCTCTCTTGCTCGCAGGGTGCCGACACTGAGGATCTTGCTGACCAACACCAAAGTCCCCCGAAGCACCAAGGTGCTGGTGGCTGGAGTCAAGGACAAGATCCTGAAGGTGCGGAGCCCGCGGGCTTCGGGACGTGGCCTGGGGCAGTGCTGGGGACACCCCTCGAGAGCTCAGGTCCCCTTGGGATCCCTGCTTCCCACGAGCTAATTCCCAGCTGCCCTGCGAGTAGGAGTTCAGCCTCCCTCCTTCTCCACAGTGTTGCCACACAAGTCACTGGTTTGCAACCATGGGAAAAACGTTCCTTCCTCTGGCCACTTTCCTTCTCTCGCTGCTTTCTGCACATGTGGGCGACTTACCCTTGCCTTTGCCTGCAGGGATTTTCTCTGTGAACAAGTAGCTCCTTAAGAGATGAGGAATAATCCAGCCCCAAAAGGGTGGGCCCGGTTTCATTGTGGTGGCACTGGGTCTAGAGGAGCAACTGTCTCATGTCTTGCCTCTTCCCCCACCTCCTCAGTTCCCTGCTATAATGAACCCGGTGCTGGACTCCATTAATGCAATTTCTCAGGAGTGCCAAAGTGTTCTGGAAGCGATGCCTGGAAATCCATCACCGGAGTATTACCCTGTGCTAGAGGTAAGGGGCTCGTTCGCCTGTATTTTTAGACGCTGTTACAGTTGAACATCAAAATGTCATTTAAAGAACATTAGGTCTGGGAAAGAATTTGATGGGAGGAAACGTTCAGTTCAGTGTGAAGCCATGGCCCGTGTTGTTGTTCCCTGCACCCTCCCTGGAGCCGGGGACAGAAGATGCTGCCTGTTTCTTTCCACAGCTGTGCACAGGGGAGGAGGGAAGGGGCCGGCTGCTCTGGGATGCAGAGCTCTGGAGGGTTTGCTTCCCTTTGCAAAGAGAAACTGAGGGACTTCACTTTGAGATGCTGCCTCTGTGAGCTGCTCGGTCTGGCAGGGGCTCTTGGTGAGGCTACCACTTGGTCACTGCCAAGGCTGGAGAGGGAGCAGAGAGCCCAGTAGCCACCAGTTGGCAATGGGCTGGTTCCCAGCCAGCCCCCGTGGCTCTGTGCTCATCCTGGCTCCAGAGAATAGCAAACAGAGCTGTGCCCAGAGCTGACCTGACATTGATGCATGAGGTGCATGCAAAGATCTGTGTTTGTTTTGGCTCTGCTCGAGGGAGGAGAGGCTGCTGTGCTGGGGGAGGCTCTCTCAGGTGGAAGAAGCGCTTTGCAGCGCTGAAAGCACCAGAATGTTGGTTCGTGTGACTGTAGGGTGAAGAGGGCTGACAGTGTCCCAGCTAAGGCAACCCTGGCCTGGCCCTGGGAAGGTCGGGAACCCCTTGGAACCGGCGGCGCAGCTCATTGCTGGTGTCTGGATCCCAGCCTGCAGCGCTGTCACGAGGTGCCCTCGCTGTCCTTGCTCCTGCCTGCTGGAGGTGACAGGACATCTCCGTGGCCACGCGGTGCTGTGGAGGTGCAGGGGACCCAGAAGCTCCCTGTGTCAGCCCCATTAAGGGACTCCTGGCACAGCCCTCCCCTCCTGGCTTCAGGCTGCGTCCCCCTCACCGGTGTGCATGGGCAGAGCCAAACGGCTCCTGCTGGGACTGCAGCCAGCCCAGGAGGCCCCCAGAGCACACAGGGATGGGGTAGAGGGAAGGGTGTCAAAAACTGGTCAGAAAACATGGTACCCACTGAGCAGCTCAGCCGTGATCCTGTAAATCTCTCGGGCATGTACTGATGGGAAGATCCCACAGGATTTACAGCAAAGCCCTGCTCTGTTTGACCGGCGGGCACGGCGGCTGCTGGCTCGGGGCCCTTCCTGCGGCCGCCGGGGCGTTTGCACGGTGTCCTCGCGACACTCGTGGGACCGGAGAGGCAGCCAGGGGCGCCGGAGCCTCTGGTTCAGCGCCCGCCGTCAGGGCGCGCGGGCAGCCTGCCGTGACCGCGGCGTTCCCTGCGCCGGGCCAGGAGCCTGGCAGCCGCGGCACCGCGGTCCCCGTGCCGGGTGGCACAGCCCGGTGGGCAGCGCGGGGCCTCGGGCACCAGCTTTGCCCTTGAGGAGGCCGCTCCCGCGCTCACCCCCCGTGTGTGCGGCCGCTTGCAGGAGCTCTTCGATATCAACCAGCACCACCTGAACGTGCTCGGCGTCGGGCACCCCTGCCTGGACCGGCTCTGCCGGGTGACGGCGTCGCACGGGCTGCACAGCAAGCTGACCGGGGCCGGCGGCGGCGGCTGCGGCGTCACCCTGCTGCGGCCAGGTGGGTGTCCGGCCCCGCGTCCGGCCCGCGGGAACGGGAGGGATGCGGAGCGCCGAGCCGCCCAGCGCAGCCACTTACGTCTCTCCCATCCCGCGGGCACAGGCCCTGCTCCGGGGCTGCGGGTTTAGCTGTGCACTAGCCCGTTTCCATCCCCCCGGGGGCCCGGCTGACCATTAACCGGCCGCTCTCGCCTTCCTTTCGCAGACACCTCCCCGCTGGCCGTGGAAGCAGCCAAGAGAGACCTGTGCGCCTGCGGGTTTGAATGCTGGGAGACCAACATCGGGGCGCCCGGCGTGAGCCTGCACTGCCCCTCGGCGCTGAAGGCAGAAGTGCTGCGCGCGCTCGGCATGAGCTAGGGCTCTGCCCCGGCACCGCGCAGCTCCCGGCACCGCGTCCTGGAGCCGCGGGGTTTGTGCCCCGGCACCCAGCAACTTCCCCCTGACTCTCTCTCTGTGGCTGCGGGTCTCTACACAGATGCACGGGGCTAAGTCTGGGCCTGGTATTATTGGGAGTGGGAATTACAGCGAGGAGCAAGGAGCAACTGCTCGCACTAGTGCGGATTTGACCCAGCCTCTCCGAATCCTATTCTGAATTTCTTGCTGAACGGCGGAGCGGCTCTCAAGGGGCAGGAGACGAGGGCCTTGGCAGGGCTCCAGCGTGGGTAATGACCTTGCCTGGCTCTGCCGCTCGTCCCCGGGCTGCGAGGGCAGCGGGGCTGGCACGGAGGCGTGCGGGGCGCCGAGGCTTAGCGGGACAAACAGCCTGCCAGCCAAGGGCTCCGCACTCAGGTCTCCGTCATTCCCGCTGGACTCCAACGGAGCACAGAGAGAAAACCTTTAAATACAGCTCCGACTTGCTGCTAATTAAGAGTTTGGATAATTAAAATGGAAGAAACAGTACAATTCTAATGCAGTTATCACTGTTTTCGCTCTCTCCCATCATCTCTGTTTCCATCTAGGCTGATAAACGGGCTCTGAAACTGGTTGTCATTCACGTGCTCAGGGTCTGGTTCAAACAACTCATCTGCTAGGAGATGGTTAAAGGCAAAAGAATTCTTAAGATTTCCACCCGCAATAGCTGTTTTGGGATCTCTTCTGCTTCAGTCATAAATGAGCACATTTTTAGCCCCCTACACTTGCTGGGTGAATAAAACGTTGTCTCTCAGGGTAGGGAAAGAATAATGATGTTTCATACCAGAGCAAACACCAATTTGCTTCAGTTTAGTTATTTTTTGAAGTGGAATGCATTTTTTTTCCTCTTCAAAAGCTGAGCTTAATTTACAACTGACAAACTATAAAACCTAAATGTGCTTAAACTTATTACACTAATGTAGTTTACTAGGAATTTTAATGAGTCGCACCACTGAACTGGAGGGAATTGGCAGGTGAGTGTCAGCAGCCAGAGGATTTGGTAGCAAGAGGCTCTGGTCTCTGCTGTACCTGCCAAAGAGCTTTTTGTCTTTGTTTTCTTGCCTGCTTTATTTAAGTGCAGCTCTTTTCAAAAGACTTCATTCAAAGCTAAGTGATGGATTGGCAGAAGGGGGAGGCTTCCTCTTCCCCTTAGGAATAAGCAGGCAGGAGCAGGAAGGTGAGATCTGCTAGCTCTCAAATCTTGGCATCGTGATGACCAGCTTTAGTTTGCTGTGCACGGATAAAACTGTCTCTGGTTTTAATAAATTGATGGGTTTTGGGTGTAAAGTGTTCTTTGATAATTACGCTGGATACAAAAGGAGAAAAGTACCTTACACTGCTTCAATAAAAACGGGTTTCAAGTGCTGGTTTTCTACATGTCTAATTACAATTCCAATTTGCATCCACGAACAGCCTTACACTAATCACAAGTCAAAAAGCCTAATAAATAATTTACCATTTTCTAATACAGTGTAATCAATGTGAATATCTGAATGCATTGTTGACTCTAAAGCTGCTTAACTGCGTCTGTAGTTTCTCCTGGTTAGCACAAAGAAATGCCAAATTCCCTGTGAAGAAACTTAGCTTCAAAAACACATGTCTGGGTTGATCCTCATTAGCTGTTTTCTTCAGAAGACGACCCAGCCGTCACACTACAAGTGCTGCAGGAGGGCGGAGGGAAGGAACGGAACGAAAATTGAGGTTTGACGGTTTAAATTACAATTAAAAGGGGCTATTTAAGGAGATCAAGCCTTTAGCCGGCGCGGTGACGTGAATTATTAAGAAGCCCCCTGTGAACATATTGCTGGTGCCGGGAGCGTGACCCTGCTTGCGGGTGCCACGTTCCTTGGGCTCAGCCAGGCTGTCGCTTCCCGGGAAGCTTCCTGGGAGCTGCCGGAGGGATGGAGGACGCGGAGCAGGGAGGTGGCCCGGCACGTGGTGCAAGGGGGCAGCGGCCCTGCCCGCGCCCCGGAGCTGTCCTGCGCTCCATGCGATGCCCGGGGACCTTGTCCGGCGCCGTCCCCATCCCCAGGAGGCTCCTGCAAGGAGCGGGAGCAGGATGTCCAGTTCCCACTGGATCTGCGGCCTTGGCCATGGGAGCGGAATGCTTAGGTCGGCAGCTGGAACCAAGCCTGGGTTGCTGGGATTAAGCCCGGGTTTAGCGTCTGCGGGAGGCTCTGGGGCACCGGCTCCCGGCTCCGTCCTTCCAGGCTCCGGCCGGAGGCTCCAGGCGGCCCCGTCCTGCCGGGACGGACCCAGCCCTCGTGTTCGGGGAGCATCAGCCCCAGCGCCGCCTTCCCCGGACACCCGGCCCCGCTTCCCGGCCCCGCAGGCTCCCTCGCCCTCCGGCGTGTCCCCGTCCTCGCGCCCCGCGTTACGGATGGGCCGCGGCGCGGCGGCTGCAGCTGAAGGATTGCCCTGCTAATTTGGCTAATTTTTCTTGAGCCTCATTTTTCACGTTAGGAGCTTTGCAAAAAGACGAACGATCCTGTTTTGCCCCAGAGAGCCGCCCGGGAGCGGGAGGGCAGCGGGGACCACCCGGGAGCGGGAAACCCTCATCTGGGACCGTATCCCGGTGCTCCGGAGCCGCGCCGGACACCCCCGTTCCCGCGAGGCACTGCTGGCATTTCGCTCCCCAATCCGTGTCAGCACCGGCTTCTTTCTGCTCTGATGAGTCCATCCCAGAGAGGCAGTGACATTCGCTGAGAAAACAGGGAAAACGGGGGGAAAAACGGGTCACAGGGAGCGGGAAAGCACGGGGGGCCCCGGCCAGGGCGGGCGCCCGTCCCGCCGGAGCGCCCGGAGCCGCCGGCTTTGTTGTCGCCGGAGTGCGGCAGACGAATGGAGAAGCGCTTGTCAAAATGTCAGTGCACAACAAATCAACATTCCAAATGAGTCGCGGCGCTGCGCGGTGTATAATTAAAAAAAAATCCTTTTTAGAAATTTCAGCGAGCGTTGGCTCCGCTTTATATTTGTCTGCGTGATTAATAAAGGCAGCTAATTTTCAGACTTTAAAAACAGCTAGAAAATAGCTCCTAATTACATATTAGGTTCCAGGCAGCCCCCGCTGCGCCAGGCTGGTATTGGTGGGCCACAGAATTTGGCAGGGGCTTAATTACATTCTGAGCATCATCTAATTTTAGTTAAATGTAATGTAATCAGTAGCAGATGTCTGAAATAAAATATGAATTATGAATATGATGAAATTTCATTCTTGAATAAAAAAGTAATTTGCTATTTAGTTCATTAAAGTCACCAAGGTTTATTAGGGAGCAGGTACCCGCAGCGATGGGGTGGCCTGGAAAGGGTGTCTCGGAGCAAGGAGCAAAATTGCATTAAAGGTGCTAAAATATTCCGCCAGGACAAGCTGGAATTGGAAATTTGTGTATTTATTTGCTATTTTATGCGTTTCTGGGTGTTTTTCCTTGTAGGGCCGTGTGGGACGGGATCGCCCGCGTGTCCATCCCCTTGGCGGCTCTGTGCGCTCCAGCTCCCGCGGTGGGAATCACGTCTCCTTATTCCCCCTGGATTGACGGACGGGCGCCTCCCTAGCGCCGGCTCCTCCGGTGCTTCATTCCAGCAGGGATGCCGGGATGCGGATCCACGCGGGAGCGGCGGGGACGCTGCGGCTCGCGTGGGCCCGCGCTCCTCCTCGCCGCATTCATCACGGGCCTGACAGCTAAAATTCATTTGAAGATGAAGAAAGTGCCGGCTAATCCTTTCTGCGCGACAGTGATAGACTAGCGGCTCGGGAAGAATTGCACAGCAGTAATGAAATTAGGCTAAAACTGCTGGCGGATAGCAGATAATTGCCCTTGTCTGTCACTAGGAATAACATCTCCCCCAGCCAACGCAATGATTGCTCGGCTTGCAGGAATCGCTCGCCTTTTATTTATTTTCCCGGGGTTGGCTGTGCCGCGAGGCGCGCGCTCCGAGCGCGGCGCCGGGCCGGGGCAGCCGCGGCCGCCCGGTTATCGGGAGCCGCGTGGCAGGCGGCAGCGGCGCCGCCGGTGCTCCACGTGCCCGGGCTGGCACGGGGCAATCAGCGCGGCCGCCAGTGCCGTGTTTCACTTCCCAATGGAGGTTCCCGGTGCTCGGGAGCGCGGTGCTGCCGCGGCGCTCGTCGCACAGAGAGCGCGGGAACGCCGGGATGGGCCGGAGCGCGCCGGGCTGCTCCCGAGGCTCCTGCCCGCGGGCGGGCAGCGAGGGGGCATCTCGGAGAGGGGCGCGGGAAGGGCGCAGGGTGCTCAGGGCCGGGGGCAGCTCCGAGGGCTCGTTGGGCTCCCAGGTGCCCTGCTCCGGTGCGGATATTGGTTCTTCCCACCAGAGCCGGCTGGAGCGATGCCCTGCTCCGGTGTGGATGCGGGCCCTTCCCGCCGGCACGGCACGCTCCTTAACGGATGCTCATGTGTCCCCGAGGCCATTTGTCTTCATCCAGTGCCAGGCGGCAGGACGCGGGGAGCCAGGGCCGGGCACCGAGGCCTCCCGCGGCGGTCGTAGCCCCGCTGGGCGCCGCTGCACGGCACTGGGGACGGCTCCTGCTTCCTGAGGCTCCCACGCGCTTCCCGCACGATTCCCACACGATTCCCACACGCTTCCAGCATCTCCAGGGGCTGCCCCAATGCCGAGCCCAGTGGCACGCAGGGTCCCGCCGCGCTCCTGCCCGGAGCCGCTCCGCCGGAGCCGCTGGTGGGTAATGCCTGATTAAGGACTGCTGTACCATCGGCTTCGGTTTGATTGCAGATGTTTTTAATTATATCGTATAAGATCGTGTTATGTAATTGCATTTATCTGATTGAAGCCTTAATTGTAGGATTTCATAATGGTATGACTGGGTAAATACACCATTGCGACTGTTGTCCCCCAATGAAAATTAGGTGCTTCGTGTCTTTATTGCATTATCCTGGAGAGGAGTTTAAGTTGGGAAGAAAGAAATGAAAAGGGAGGGAAGGAAGCAAAGGCGAGAGCTTCTCCCCGTCCTTGGCCTCCTGCAGGCTGGGGACATGCAGGAGATGTGGTGGTGTCCAGGCCCCACACTCTGCTGCCTGTGAGCTGCTGGAGGTCTCTGGAGCGTCACGGCCTGGTGAGCATCTCATCATGGGTGAGCATCACGTCATGGGTGAGCATCACGTCATGGGTGAGCATCACGTCGTGGGTGAGCATCACGTCATGGGTGAGCATCTCATCATGGGTGAGCATCTCATCATGGGTGAGCACCATGTCACGGGCGAGCATCACCTCCTAGATGAGCATTGTGTCATGGACGAGCGTCACCTCCTGGTTGGGTATCCACTCTTGGGTGAGCATCACCTCCTGGATGAGCATGACATCATGGGTGAGCATCTCCTCCTGGACGGGCATCACCTCCCAGTCAGGCATCACCTCCTGGCCAGGTGTCTCCTCCAGCCTGGACATCACCCCATGGCTGAACGTCCCTTCCCAGCCTGGCATCGCCTCCAGGCCAAGCGCCGCCTCCGGCTCGGTGCCACCTCCCGGCTGGAAATCACCTCCCAGCCAAGCGCTGCTTCCCGCACCTCCTGGTGAGCATCGCTCCCCAGCCACAGCCGGCCGTCCCCTCCGGGCCATCCCCTCCCGGGTGGGCACTGCCCCCAGGAATGCCGCATCCCCAGGGATACGGGGGCAGATCCAGGCCCTTCACCCTGTGTTCCGGGCAGCCTGGGAGCAGGGTGCTGCCACCCTCGGCGGGACAAGGTGGCTGAGCAGGGACACGGGTGCTAAAGATGCCCGTGTGCTCCAGGCACCTGGGCTGGTCCTCATCCCTGCGGAGCGTCCTCGGAGCCGGCGCCAGGAGTGAGCAGCTCCGAATGCCCCGGAATGGGGGTGGCCTCAGCGGAGCCCCCCGCGCTCCCTGCGCATCCCGCCCGGCCCCGCTGCTCCCCGCGGGAATCAGAGGGAGCTTCGGGCTTTTGCCGGAGCCCTTTGCGGTCCTAATCCGCAACATGTGGTTCCTAGGGTGTCTCCTCACTAATAGGTTTAGGATTATGGGAATATGCACAAATCCAGACCGGAGCTGTCACTCCGCTCGGGTGCTAAGGTGATTTCATTAGGATTTAGGTTTAGAGAGCTGCCTTTCTCTCGCTCTCTTTTTAATATTATTTTTATTCAATTACATCAGCAATTCATGAAACTTCAAAGCCGTTTCATCA